GCATACTGGCTTAGCACCATCTTCCCATGCATACTGGCTTTGCACCATCTTCCTATGCTGGCTTACCACCATCTTCCCATGCATACTTGCTTAGCACTATCTTCCCATGCTAGCTTAGCACCGTCTTCCCATACATACTGGCTTAGCAGCTTTAGCAGCATAGCAGCAGCCCACCGCTGCCACCAAATATGTCGTGACGCTGAACCCCGGTTCATTCCGAACACAGCGATTACACAACACATAACACCTTGCCTCAGCAACCGTTACTACCACCGTGTACTCCTACACACACCAGACCCTTGAGGCGTACCACTAGGTTTGTACTGGAACACAATGAATGAACATATGGAAGGTATTTAAAGGCCGTCGGGTTTTGTCATTTAATTACAAAGAATAGACTCTGACAAATAATACTATATTAATTAACATTCTCTATTAGGTCAATACACTTCCAATACCCATAGACCACTTGACCTCCGCGATCACCACACACACTCGTAACTTCCGCCTAAGTCCCTAATACGGAATGATTACTACAACGCTCCACACCCGGTTAGTCTTACATTCAATACTCACATACTGCAGACTTAACTTCGTCACTAAGATCACAACAGGCTCTCGCATAGCTGTCTGCTACACTTCGCTGCTGCCACAAACGGAGACCTCGGAGGACTTGCTAGTTCAACTCCCACAATCAGACTGCCTCCAGTCAGCCATGGCCTTAATCATTTCACCACTCCTCTCAAGGAAGGTATAATCCGATTAACCTTATCCCTAGAGCGGTAACCTTGATCCTAGAAGCCTGACGACGAATAATTCCTCTTTCCAGGAATAATTAATTTGGCTAAACAGCTTCGGACTTAATCCATTGACCTTTCTTAGATATGTGATCCATAGTCTGTCTACTTAACATGTACTTCCAATCATCATTCGTTAAGTGTTGTAGTAATGATCCTCTAGCTAATAATTCCTACTAACTTGTGGATTACAACACCAGGCATACTGGCTTAGCACCATCTTCCCATGCATACTGGCTTACCACCATCTTCCTATGCTGGCTTAGCACCGTCTTCACATGTATACTGGGATAGCACCGTCTTCCCATGCATACTGGCTTACCACCATCTTCCTATGCTGGCTTAGCACCGTCTTCCCATGTATACTGGAATAGCACCGTCTTCCCATGCATACTGGCTTACCACCATCTTCCTATGCTGGCTTAGCACCGTCTTCCCATGTATACTGGCTTAGCACCGTCTTCCCATGTATACTGGGTTAGCACCGTCTTCCCATGCATACTGGCTTAGCATCATCTTCCCATGCATACTGGCTTAGCACCGTCTTCCCATGCATACTGGCTTACCACCATCTTCCTATGCTGGCTTAGCACCGTCTTCCCATGTATACTGGCTTAGCACCGTCTTCCCATGTATACTGGCTTAGCACCGTCTTCCCATGCATACTGGCTTAGCACCATCTTCCCATGCATACTGGCTTAGCACCGTCTTCCCATGCATACTGGCTTAGCACCGTCTTCCCATGCACACTGGCTTAGCACCGTCTTCCCATGCACACTGGCTTAGCACCGTCTTCCCATGCATACTGGCTTAGCACCGTCTTCCCATGCATACTGGCTTAGCACCATCTTCCCATGTATACTGGCTTAGCACCATCTTCCCATGTATACTGGCTTAGCACCATCTTCCCATGTATACTGGCTTAGCACCATCTTCCCATGTATACTGGCTTAGCACCATCTTCCCATGTATACTGGCTTAGCACCATCTTCCCATGTATACTGACTTAGCACCATCTTCCCATGTATACTGGCTTAGCACCATCTTCCCATGTATACTGGCTTAGCACCATCTTCCCATGTATACTGGCTTAGCACCATCTTCCCATGTATACTGGCTTAGCACCATCTTCCCATGTATACTGACTTAGCACCATCTTCCCATGTATACTGGCTTAGCACCATCTTCCCATGTATACTGACTTAGCACCATCTTCCCATGTATACTGGCTTAGCACCATCTTGTGACAATACTCTGTAATTTCCTTTTCGGATCTTCAGTGCTATTCTACTCATATAATTTGTGAGAACAACCAGTATCCCATATGTGTTTTTTGTGAGAACAGCCAGTATCCCATATGTGTTATTTGTGAGAACAGCCAGTATCACATATGTGTTATTTGTGAGAACAACCAGTATCACATATGTGTTATTTGTGAGAACAGCCAGTATCCCATATGTGTTATTTGTGAGAACAACCAGTATCACATATGTGTTATTTGTGAGAACAGCCAGTATCCCATATGTGTTTTTTGTGAGAACAGCCAGTATCCCATATGTGTTATTTGTGAGAACAGCCAGTATCACATGTGTTATCTGTGAGAACAGCCAGTATCACATATGTGTTATTTGTGAGAACAGCCAGTATCCCATATGTGTTATTTGTGAGAACAGCCAGTATCACATGTGTTATCTGTGAGAACAGCCAGTATCACATATGTGTTATTTGTGAGAACAGCCAGTATCACATATGTGTTATTTGTGAGAACAACCAGTATCACATATGTGTTTTTTGTGAGAACAGCCAGTATCACATATGTGTTTTTTGTGAGAACAGCCAGTATCACATATGTGTTATTTGTGAGAACAGCCAGTATCCCATATGTGTTATTTGTGAGAACAGCCAGTATCACATGTGTTATCTGTGAGAACAGCCAGTATCACATATGTGTTATTTGTGAGAACAGCCAGTATCACATATGTGTTATATGTGAGAACAACCAGTATCCCATATGTGTTATATGTGAGAACAGCCAGTATCACATATATGTTATATGTGAGAACAGCCAGTATCACATATGTGTTATATGTGAGAACAGCCAGAGTCCCATATGAGATATATGTGAGAGCAGGTTATGGGCAAGATGAACAGTGTTCTCTTAATCGTAATCTTTTGGTTTTCAATAATCTCTGTTTACATTTTAATGTATCTAAAAAGTAGTTATGTTTCAGCAAGAGTTTGGCAGTTGTAATAATTAAACACCAGGCCACAGTAATTCGTACAGTGAAGTATTGCTGATACTCGAGTACTGTTTCCCCAATTACTCATACACTGTAATTGTTACTACTTTTGCAACAGGTCACAATAATTGGTAAAGCTTAGTAGCAACTTTTCACAGTAACTTACATGAAAGTTGGGACTCTGAGTGCCGGTAAGAAACATTTTTACTCAAACCTTCACAGTAGTTACCAACTCGATATCGGAATCGATATCAACGATATCTTGTCGATATGAACCTTTCAAGAAACTATCTTGTTTGTTTTCTCGGCTTGTGTGTGGTTAAGTTAGGTTTGTTCGGGTTAAGTTAAGCAAGGTTGGGTTATGTTAGGTACGTTTTAATGCAACTTAATATTAGCTGGTCTTGTGTACTGTTATGACCCAGTTATTACATTGGGGGGGGGGGAACTCTTAAAGAATCACAGGCCTTAATTACCCATCTTAACATGTGCAAAATGGCCAATAAGCGCTCTAATATTAAAAGACCTTAAAATGTAATTTATTCCTATGCCCATCACTTATCTATTACATTTGCCCTACAGATCTATTACATCTGCCATACACATCTATTTCGTCTGCCCTACAGATCTATTATATCTGCCTTACACATCTATTACATCTGCTCTACAGATCTATTACATCTACCCCTACAGTACCCACGTCCTGTGTTGTGGCAATACTTCACATTTGTTCTCAAGATTTAACTCTGCAACAATATTTGTGCGTCTTAAATCAGTTTTCAGGCTGCAAAAAACTATTATTATTTAAATTACTTGGATAATGTGGATCTGTGGAGATGTTAGATTTGTCATGTGATATTCAACCCACACGTCAGAAACTGAAGAAACGACGACGTTTCGGTCCATCCAGGACCATTATCAAGTCGAGTGATAATGGTCCACGACAGACCATAGCGTCGTTCTTTCTTAATTTTCTGATGTATATGTTCAGCCACGTTATTATTTTACATATAGTATGTTCATCCTGGAAGCTCTGAGGAACAGATTTTTGAAGTTTGTGAAGCTCTATGTAAATGTCAATTTATGAAACATGTATATTTAGGCTTGATCATGAACACGACGAGAATTCACAGAGCACTTAAGTGTCCGTTTAAGAGATCCGTAACTATTATTTATATCATGGTGGCTTGGTAGGTATTCACTTATAGTTTGCGAGTTATGCAGCGCTACGAGGTAGCCCTCAACACAAGGTTATAATTGTTGTTTACGATATCATCGCGACCAAGTCAGCAAAGTCGAGATAACAGGAATAAATGTTATAAGTGGAAAGATAAGTGCTTTGGTAATCCTGTCCCTCAAAATTAAGGTATCTTTGAATTAGTATATATTCTGATGAACAGTGTTTCATGATGTTCATACCATTAAGCTGATCCTGTTGATGCTCATTTCTTCAAAACGACGAGAAAGCACTGATCATACCCGAGAGTTGAACTCGTGAACAATAAGCCAGTATAATAGGTTACTATAATGCCTTCCTTGTTGATAGTGTGACAAGCAAATGGGTTTATAATGCCTTAAATCATTAAAAGTGTTCAGTCATTTCGTGAGACAATAATTTACAGTTTACGATGAAAATGAGAGAAATGAAGATATGGCAAAATTTGTAATGAATTGTTTAATATTTTAATAATTGAGAGAAAATTCTTATCTCCTCTCACATTGATAAGACTGTCCTTCCTCACTCAGACTGAGACGGCTTCTCTCTCTCCTCGTGCATTTATATTTTTATTTCTCAGAGTCGACCTTTACATCCAGTTTCTGTAGATTAAAATTATTTTCCTGCATGGCTTGCTCTTGAGAATGTTTACCCCGTCTCTGGCGCTGCAAGACTTCCCCCACTTACTGTCTGGCGCCTGATACACTCCACAATATCTTAGCAAACTGACTCTTAATTATTTCACCACTGGTGGGGCCGCAGGTGCCGCCGACGGAGGAGCTGCTGGCGAGGGAGAGCGACTGTGAGCAGCAGCAGCTGGCCAACTTAACGTCGAGGGCCTCGTACCGTCACCAGCAGGGCCTCTTGTACCCCATCAACGTGGCCAGGAACACCGCAAGGCAAGCCGCCCGCACCTACTTTGTCCTCCCTTCAGACATCGAGCTCTACCCTTCCATCAACTTCATCCCTGGTGAGAGACACACGGACGAGAGAGAGAGAGAGAGAGAGAGAGAGAGAGAGAGAGAGAGAGAGAGAGAGAGAGAGAGAGAGAGAGAGAGAGAGAGAGAGAAAGAGAAAGAGAAAGAGAAAGAGAGAGAAAGAGAAAGAGAAAGAGAAAGAGAAAGAGAAAGAGAGAGAGAGAGAGAGAGAGAGAGAGAGAGGGAATTATCAAGGGAAAGCGCCAAGTCATTACGACTATATAGCACTGGGAAGGGATCAGGATAAGGATTTGGGATGGGACGGGGGAAAGGAATGGTGCCCAACCACTTGTATGGTCGAGAATTGAACGCCGGCCTGCTTGAAGCGAGACGGGCGTTCTACCGTCCAGCCCAAATGGCTGGGTCACACACTTTCAAACTTCAGTATGAGAGTGTGTGTTTGTGAGAGTGTGTGAGTGAGTGAATGTGTGTTTGAGTTAGTGTGTGTGTGGTTATCTTGAGATGATTTCGGGGCTTGGTGTCCCCGCGGCCCGGTCCTCGACCAGGCCTCCACCCCCAGGAAGCAGCCCATGACAGCTGACTAACTCCCAGGTACTTATTTACTGCTAGGCAACAGGGGCATCAGTGAACAAATCCACAAGGGCCGTGACGAGGATTCGAACCTGCGTCCGGAAGCATCCCAGACACTGCTCTAATCAACTGAGTTACGACAGGGTTAAAAGAGTTGAAACCGAAGTTATGCTGAACTTACTGGATCTCGTAGCCTTTCCGTGGCACAAACCAGGATTTTACACAACTCCCCCCTGCACCTGAGCTATGTCAATAGGCCGTTCTCCCTCTTCGCTCTTACATCATTGCACACAGAGATCACACTAACGTGATGCATCAATGAAGAAATCCACAAGGGCCCTTGTGGATTTGTTCATTTGATGTATCACGTTAGTGTGATCTCTGTGTGTAATGGGCATCAGTGTGAAAGAAACTCTACCCCATTGTTTCTCGCCGGCGCCCGGGATCGGACCCGGGACCGCAGGATCACGCGTCCAGTGTTCTGTCTGCTCAGCCACCGGCTCCCCTGCGTCAGCCACCGGTATGAGAGTGAATATGTGTGTGTGTGTATGTACTCACCTAGTTGTACTCACCTAGTTGTGTTTGCGGGGGTTGAGCTCTGGCTCTTTGGTCCCGCCTCTCAACCGTCAATCAACAGGTGTACAGATTCCTGAGCCTATCGGGCTCTGTCATATCTACACTTGAAACTGTGTATGGAGTCAGCCTCCACCACATCACTTCCTAATGCATTCCATTTGTCAACCACTCTGACACTAAAAAAGTTCTTTCTAATATCTCTGTAGCTCATTTGGGCACTCAGTTTCCACCTGTGTCCCCTTGTGCGTGTTCCCCTTGTGTTAAATAGACTGTCTTTATCTACCCTATCAATCCCCTTCAGAATCTTGAATGTGGTGATCATGTCCCCCCTAACTCTTCTGTCTTCCAGCGAAGTGAGGTTTAATTCCCGTAGTCTCTCCTCGTAGCTCATACCTCTCAGCTCGGGTACTAGTCTGGTGGCAAACCTTTGAACCTTTTCCAGTTTAGTCTTATCCTTGACTTGATATGGACTCCATGCTGGGGCTGCATACTCCAGGATTGGCCTGACATATGTGGTATACAAAGTTCTGAATGATTCTTTACACAAGTTTCTGAATGCCGTTCGTATGTTGGCCAGCCTGGCATATGCCGCTGATGTTATCCGCTTGATATGTGCTGCAGGAGACAGGTCTGGCGTGATATCAACCCCCAAGTCTTTTTCCTTCTCTGACTCCTGAAGAATTTCCTCTCCCAGATGATACCTTGTATCTGGCCTCCTGCTCCCTACACCTATCTTCATTACATTACATTGGTTGGGTTAAACTCTAACAACCATTTGTTCGACCATTCCTTCAGCTTGTCTAGGTCTTCTTGAAGCCTCAAACAGTCCTCTTCTGTTTTAATCCTTCTCATAATTTTAGCATCGTCCGCAAACATTGAGAGAAATGAATCGATACCCTCCGGGAGATCATTTACATATATCAGAAACAAGATAGGACCTAGTACAGAGCCCTGTGGGACTCCACTGGTGACTTCACGCCAATCGGAGGTCTCACCCCTCACCGTAACTCTCTGCTTCCTATTGCTTAGATACTCCCTTACCCACTGGAGCACCTTACCAGCTACACCTGCCTGTCTCTCCAGCTTATGTACCAGCCTCTTATGCGGTACTGTGTCAAAGCTGTGACTGTGTCAACTGTGTATGTGTGTATGTGTGTGTGTGTGTGTGTGTGTGTGTGTGTGTGTGTGTGTGTGTGTGTGTGTGTGTGTGTGTGTGTGTGTGTGTGTGTGTGTGTGTAAATGTGTTCCTGAGTATTCACCTAGTTGTACTTGCAGGGGTTGAGCTCTGCTTATTCGGCCCGCCTCTCAACTGTCAATCATTCAACTGTTACTTCCTATTACTATACTAACTATTTTTTTTCCACACACACACACACACACACACACACACACACACACACACACACACACACACACACACTTCCAGGAAGCACCCCGTAACAGCTGTCTAACTCCCAGGTATTTATTTACTGCTAGGCAACAGGGGCATCAGGGGTGAAAGAAACTACCCATTTTTGTTTCCGCCAGCGCTGGGAATCGAGCCCCGGATCACAAGACTACGTATCCAGCGTGCTGTTCACTCAGCAACAAGCCCCCTGGTGGCTAAGAGTGAGTGTATGAAAGTGAGTGTGTGAGAGTGAGTGTGTGTGAGTGAGTGTGCATGAGAGTGAATGTACTCACCTAGTTGTACTCACCTAGTTGTGCCTGTAGGGGTTGAGCTTCGCCTCTTTGGGTCCGCCTCTCAACCGTCAATCAACAGGTTGGACAGATTCCTGATCCTACTGGGCTTTATCATATCTACATCACAATCTTCTTCCCATCCGCTGTCAGAGTTCCATGTATGGAGCTTGTGCTTTCATTGGTACCCCGATTTTTCAGGTTTTCAAACTTCCATTTCCGCTTTATTAGGAGTGCCACTCCCGCTCCCTGTCTCTGTGTCCTTTCTTTTCTTATCACCTGGTACCCCTCTGGAAAGATTGCATCCGAGATCATGCCATTTATTTTGTTTCCACTATTGCAACTATCTGCCTCACTAACTCTTTCTTTTATCTTTTTTTTTTTTTTTTTTTTTTTTTTTTTTTTGAGATATATACAAGAGTTGTTACATTCTTGTACAGCCACTAGTATGCGTAGCGTTTCGGGCAGGTCCTTAATCCTATGGTCCCTGGAATACGATCCCCTGCCGCGAAGAATCGTTTTTTCATCCAAGTACACATTTTACTGTTGCGTTAAACAAAGGCTACAGTTAAGGAATTGCGCCCAGTAAATCCTCCCCGGCCAGGATACGAACCCATGACATAGCGCTCGCGGAAAGCCAGGCGAGTGTCTTACCACTACACCACGGAGACTGCCAAATACTGCTGACTGCTGACTGTCGAATAATCTCTTCTGCTTTATTGGATACCCCATCAGCATTGGTGTACCAAACCTTGAGACTCTTCTTGGAAACTCTGGTGCCAGAGTCACCCTTTCTCTGAAGGTCTGAGAGGGTCTGGTGGGGTCTGGGGGGGTCTAGGGGGTCGAATGAGGGCTGGGGGTGCCTAGGGGGCGAATGGGGTCTGGGCATCTAGGGGGTAGAGGGGGTAGGAAGGGCATAGTGGGTCTGAAAATTAGGGAGGGTCTGAATGGTATAGGAAGGTTGAGAGGTAGAGTGAGGCTGAGAGTCAGATAGAAGTTGAGATGTTAGGGGGAGGGGAAAGGATAGTGGGGGCAGAGGGCTGAGGGAAGAATGGAGCATTGGTGTTGAGAGTGGAAGAGAGGTTGTATTAGTCATGGGGGGATGAGGGGTAGGAGGGGGTTTTGGGGTAGATGAGGGGAAGAGGAGAGGTGGGGGTTGGGTGGGGTTTGGGGGTTAGGGGCAGTGGGAGCTGGGATGAAGCAGATGGAATTAAAGGCAATGGGGTAGAAGGGGCAGGAGAGTTGATGGGGGTAGTAGGGGAGGAGGGGTGGGAAGGTGGGTTTGGTGAGGGTATGGCTTGACTTGATATGGTCATTGAAGGGTGCAATGTAACAGGTTGAATTGAGTGCAAGTGTGGAAGGGGCAGGGAAGTTGTTGGGGGTTGAAGCAGGGGGGGGGGGGAGGCATAGGAGGGCAGAGTTTGGAAGGGTGTGACTTGGGAGGTAGGGCTACTTGGAAGGCTTGGGTTTCGGTGATGTGCAGGCCATTTTGTTTGCTGGCTATTTGTTCATCTTTCGTCACATACCTCTCAATAAACACATTATAATGGGCTTTGCTGCCTCTGAATAACTGTTCTTCATTATGAACTCCACTGCCTATACATTAGAGAATTGTGCCAGAACAGGTCTAGTCTTGGTACAATTGTAAGGTCCAACCCCGGCGGCTGAGTTCCACCTTGTTTCCTGCCATCTCGGCCCTAATACATCTCAAAATCTCGTGCAACTCATATTTTTCCATTTCTATCCTTTCTTGCTTTGATGTTGCACTAGATTCGAATAATCCTTGGAGGATAATTGACCGCCTTCTTAGTGATTCACTCTCATGCTGATAGCCCCTCCCCTGGATACCCCCCATCCCTACCACACTCACTAATCCATCCCCCACTAATCCACTGTCCCTAGCAATGCTGTTAATCCTTCCTAATTCATTTGTAAGCTGAGCACATTCACTCTCCCATTCTTCCCTACTCTTCCTAATTTCTTTCTGAATATAGTCCATAAGCTCTTGTTTCCGTCTCTCAACCTTGTCCAGTATTTGTTGAAAGATCTCACTTTTAATCCCTTGGATTAGATCCTCCATCCAAGTGCTCCTCCTCTCTACAATTTTCCCTATTAGCTTGTCTACAAATCTATCCTCCTCTTCTTTCCTGCTGGTGATTGACCAAGAGGCCCTTCCTGATTTTGTCATTACAATAGACAACCTTAGCCA